CTACAAGTAACTTTTAATATTAAATATTAAACTTGTTCGAAGGAAAGGGGAAAAATATTTAAAGGTAATTAAGTAAGCCAAATAAAACACCAAATTTAGAACGATAAATAACGGAAAATATTAGCGTAAGGATTCTAAAATAAATTTAATATATTATGACAGTTAAAGTAGAACGGGTATGAACAAATATAGAAGATCCTATTCATTGTAATAGAATAAATTTAGCAAAGATGTAGCGGCATGACCCGTCCGGTCTGTTAAGTTAAGCATCGATTAAGCATAAATTCAAAAATCTAAAAGTTGCTATAACTTTTTTTTTAACTTTTTTTTTTGATGCTCAATTACCACGTGAAAATTGAAATTAGGTTATAACAAGATTCTAAAGAAAGAAAGAAAAATGAAAAGAAAAAAAATCAACCATGGATGCCAAATTTATAGATACTCTTATTAGAATTATTTATTTTTAGTTAAAACCAGAATTTACTAGTTCAGAGCCCAAATCTTACTCATATTGTAGCCTAAGCCGTATAAAATATTTTCTTTATAGATATTTCATTACCACCTATGAGGGAATTTACTTTCCTTCAAAACAAAGTTTAATTTGAGGAGAGAAAGAAAGGAAAAAAATACATTTAATACATGGATTACAGTTAGAGTGGATTACAGTTATAAAAGAATAATTAGTTTTCTCTTTTTCTCCTTCAAATTAAAATGTATCTATTAAAACAGGAGTTAAAATTCTTAGAGCAGATTATTATTTTGTTTGTCACAATTGATACACTTTTCAAATAAATTATGATTTTAATAAACAGCAAATAAAATTCTTAATTACAGAATTTTCTTCTGAATAATCGAAGAGTGAATAAATAAGAGTGGTTATTTTCCCCAAATTTTAATAAAAAAATTATATAATTTTAGTAATTCTTCCCTCATAGAAAAATGGTTCCAACTTTTCGACAGATATGATGACCGGATCAATAATACCTCAAAATTATTTTTTTAAAAAAATTTTATTTGCTGTTTTCCTCTAATATAAACGTAATATTAAACTAATAATAATTTTCTTTTTTTTTTTGAGAGGAAAAGCTTTTTAAAGAGAAATCCAAAAGAAATGTAATTGGTATACTAAATTTAAATGAAGTTAGTACAATAAAGATTTGTGAGTATATTGCATTTTAATGCGTCCAATCTGTTAAATTACGCATCGATGAGAAACTATTTCAAAATATGAAAAGAAATTTTAGCCTATTTAGATGAGGGAAAAATATAAGTTTTTATTGTAAAGAGCTACTTTTTCTTTTCTTTTAGTTCTATTTTTATCGATAAATACCGGCTAAAAATTTCTATTAAAAAAACTCAGTACTAAAATACGTATTAAAATCATTAAAGTGTGAAGGTTTATAAGAAGAAAAAAATAAATTAATTATACTAATGAAACGGAAATAAAATGAGAGCAACTTTAGATGGTCATTAATGGAGTGAAAAGTTTGAGAGAAAAATAATCAGAAATTGGTTTAAAAATTTTAATTATTCCCTTTCTTCTAACCATTACAATCCCTTTTATCAATTTCAGCCGAACTAAATATTTTTTTACGACTAATTTCATCCCAGAAATATTTTCTTAAAAAAAATTTCTTTTCTAGCTTTTAATCTAAATTTTCTCCTTTTCTAAATTTCTAAACTCTCAGGTTAATTTCAGCCAATTAAAAGAAAATTTATTTGTATATATTTTCTCTCTTTTCAATTTAAAATATTTACTGTAAGAGGGGGAAAAACTCAATGAAAAAAAACTATTGAATAGATGAATAGATCGAAAAATAAGAGAGAAAAAGGAACTAATTAGAAAGGAAAACCAATTAATAAACAAACAAAATAATCTATACAATAAATACTTAGAAAGTAATAGTAAAATAACCGGGCATTGCCAAATCCTAGGCCGTAAAAATTTAAAATTTTATTTTCAGACATTTTAAAATTAATCCAAAATTTTCAATGAAAAATTAATAATTTTTCTAACTAAGGGAGATATTCTAAAAATTAGATTTTTCTTTAAATACCCTTAAAAACATAGTTTCTAAGTAGAAATTGAAGGAGAAGTGTACAAAAATTTCAACTAAAATGACAAAAATAAAATATTTTAAAAATAATTAAAATGCCAAAAAAATATATATACTGTATAAAATATGTATCAGAAAAATTAAAAATGGATTTTAGAGAGTTTTAGAGAGAAGGAGAGAAAATTAAATTTTATTTGAATTTTTTTTTTAATTTTAACTCACTTCCAATCCAAAACGGTAATTCACGCTCACAGTCACAATAAGTCAACGCCAATCACAATGAGTCAAATTTCTGAAAAATCACTAATTTAGAATTGAAAAGGGTTGGAAAATTTATTTTTAATTTGATAATATTTTTAGGGAATGTTTTTTTTAACTTACAATGCCAAAATTCAAATCCGGATAGTAGCCAAAGCCAAATAAAAATAAATTTAAAATTTAGTGTTTTTTAGGACTCTGAAATTAGTGAAAAAAATCATTAAATTGATAAGTGTAAATATGTAAAAAGGATTGTTCAAATATTTTTAAACAGATATTTGATAAAAAAAATACTTAGGAAATATTAATAGAGACTATAAATTAAAATATTAAAGATTGAAAAAATTGTTTAAAAATTATTTATAAAAAACAAATATTCAAAGGATAAAGTTTAAAATGAAAATAGTCGGCGGGAGAAAAATTATTGTAATTTAATGGAAGGAAAAATTAGAAAAGTAAACAAAAGAAAAATCAAGATTGTATCACACCTATATTAACAAACACTTAGGAAGAAGGCTATTGTAAAGTTAAAAATGTTAATGTGGGAAGAAAATGAAATTTTAAAAGCAAAGAATAAAAAAAATGGACGAGAATTTATGAATGAGAAAGTAAACAAATATATTAATAATGCACATAGAAAAATGATCAAAGGTCAAGAATAACCAAATGTATTTTAATAAATATCCACTTAATCCAAAACATCACCTATTTTAACAAAAATTTAAGACTTCTGGAAATAGCTAGATTAAAAAATATAGACCTTGAAGAAAAGACTGAAGAGAAAAATATAGTTTAAATCCTTGAATTTCCCGAAGGAATTTAATCTTAAATCTACTCCCAAAAATAGAATTTAACTAGTCAATAAATTACTAACAAATATACTCTTCCAGAAGATCACTCTTGTTTTTCCTTTTTTTCCGAAGGAGAAGGAAAGAAAATTCTGAAGATTAGACTTTATGAAATAAGAAAATAGAGAGAAAAATATAATATATTTATTTTAAATCCATTTATTTCCCGAAGGAAGTCTATACATGGGTTTACGCGCGCTACCATAAAGCTTTTTTAAAATTTTATTATTTATTTTTATTATTCCCAAAAATTTATAAATGCCCGGGTCTTACATTATTTCTAAAAAAAATAACTTATTCTATAGGCCTTTAAATTTGTTTTAATATATAAATTTTTAAAAAAAAATTACACCTACCTCCCGGTATCCACGTCGATGTCGAAGGACCAGTGCTACCAGTAGAGGTGGGACCCCCGGAATAAGATATTACCATGCGGTGGGCCCAAACCCCAGAATGATGGAATACGGGAGGGGATATGCCCGGGACTTCCTAAGAGGAACCAAAGGGTTGATCAGGCCCCCGGTCGATCTCCTGCACCAGGCATACACAATTGAACACAATTTATATATTTATTAAATCCAAATATTAAAAGCTTTATTAAAACATTATTTATTTCATTAAAGTGAATGAACAATAAGACACTTGTAAGGTGATTACAAATCCTTTTAAATGTGTGAGAAAAGTGGGAGGGAAATGAATAATAATGAAATGACTATAAACTATAGGAAACAAACTCCGAGAATACCTTTGACCCTTACAAAAACAAAACTAACAAGTCAAAATTTGCCAGAAACACCCCCAAAAAGATTAAAAAGACTTTAGCGGGATACACCCAAAACGGCGCGCGTCCATAACGGCGCAAAGCCATAACTTGCTTCAAGATTTTCGAACCTTAACAAAATTAGTATCGAACGATTCTACTCATCATGTTAAAGAGTCTGATATCAAAATTGATAAAGGCCACGCAATTTCCAGCAAGTTATGGCTTTGCGCCGTTTTGGGCAGTCTTTAGCTTAAAATTTGCAAATATTTATTTGTTTGGCATTCTGTTTATTAAAAATGACATTTTGTCTCAACATTTAGTATAAAAGGAAAAAATGAGAGAGAGCTTGAGAATGAAAGAAAAGTAAGGAAAAAGTAGTTTTCGGTTTCGTGTTCGTTTTTGCGCGTTTCGTGTTTTTTTTTGTTTATCTCCTTCAGTCTTAAAGACAGTTTTCACAATCTAAATGAGCTTTATCTAAAAACGAGGTAAAATCATAACTAACCCTAATTTTAAGCATTTTTTATTCCTCGTGAATGAGGCACCACAATTAGATTTGGACAGTTACACGAACATATATGTATTTACTTTAAGTTCTGAGGTTACCTTTACCTTGTTTTTAGATATCGCTTTTGTGCTTCATTCTTGTTAATTCCAAGCAGACCTGGTCATGGATACGGATATGGATACAGATAATATCAAAATGCCTGCGGATATCCGCCTGTATCCGCCGTAGATATCCGGATACGGATACTAATATCAGTATCCGTGACCATTTCTGATTCCAAGCCTTTCCCCTTCAACCAGTTTTTGCTTTAAAATGGACATAATGGTCACACTTCCTTCCTCAATTTTACTCTATTTTTCTTCGGAAACTAAATATTAACTAATACTGGGACGTCTGCCTTTGTCTATTATAGTTTGAAAATTTCCTCGCTTACCAGACTTTTGTGAGTTCCTTCATAAAAAGAGTCTGACCATTATGTACATCTTGAAGAAAAGATTGAATGGGGGTGGGGCATTAAATTAACGCTCAATCTTTCTTATATTTTAGAGCTATAAAATCTAAAATTAAAAAATGTCTACTACTGCTGGAAGGATTCCTCGTCCACCGGAGCATATTATGCGCTATCCATTGCACAATGTCGCCAAGGTTTTTGGAAATATGGCGCTAGCATCTTCCTTTTTGTCTGCAATCTCTTATGCTTATTTCTACGTATTGCCTCGTCGTCATCAATATCGCGTGTTTATGCAGTTTGTTTTGACTTTTTTTTTTAAATTTCTGAAAATTTTCCGAAATCCGCAAAAAGTTGCGGATAATTTTTGCGGACAAAATTTTTTTATTTTCTGAAATTTAATCAAAATTTAAGCATGCCTAGACATTTTTGACTAAATTTTTCTTTAAAAATCTTTTTTAGAAATTATGACCCGTATGAGGAGATGCGACGTATCTGTGCTTATCCAAAGAAGTATATGATCACCTGCCCTACTGTTTTGGCTGAAAAGTTGAAGGAGAAGGTTTATTATTTGAAAATTTGAATGATCTAGGTTTAAACCCGAATAGGGAGGGTTAACCTGAACAAATTTTCGATTTGGTTGGGAAGTTGTAAAGCTGAAAAATCCTGATCCTTGATAGCAATTAGCAGATTATTTTAGATTCCTAATCCTTGTAAGAATGCTTGTCTTACGTAAATCTATTTTTAATTGCGAGCAGTCTTTCTTAGTTTTAGGGAATTTTCGGAAAAAGCTGAAAAGTTTAGGTTTGTCGAAAATATTTCTATTTATTTTTGGTCCACGAATTTTGACTTTACCTTAATTCCTTACTCATTTTTGAACGACTCTAGAGTTTTAGGTATTTTTTCCAAAACCAAATAAAAAATTGTTTTTCAGGGCATGGAAGTTGGAGATTATCCTGAACTTTCAAACAATGCGAATATGAAGATGACTACTCCAATGGGCAAAGAAGAGAAGAAGTCCAAATCTGTTGAAGAATTTTCGGAATAGGAGAGGGAAGGTTTGACTTTATAGAAGGATAAAAATAAATATAAAAAAAATAGATGCGTGTTTTTGTTAAAATTTGTGTATGTCAATTGTGGTAGATAAAAAATTCGTTTGGTTTTTAATTTTGTTTGAAAGAAAAAAGTTTAATTACTTTTTATTTATTTTTTTAATTTTATTTGTTTAAATCCATTTTTTTTGTCCAAGTCCGCAAAATTCTTCAAAAAAATTTTTTTTGAAAAAAAATTTTAAGGGAAGAGGAAAATTGGTAATATTGAACCTGACAGACCCCATTTTTGCTCCCCAAGTTTCTTCCTATATATTTGCAGAATGGTCAGACTTCTTTCATTTTTCCTTTCCAATTTTCCTTTCTTCCATCAAGGGGAGAATATATATGAAAGTACTTGGGGAGGAAAAAATGGGGTCTGTCAGGTTCAATATTACCGGAAAATTAACAGTGAAAATTTTGCGGACACTTTTTGCGGACTGGCAAATTTTATTTTTGAACCTGGTTGGCCCCACTTTACGGGAAAACTTTTTGGTGGTATTTGAATTTTTAAAAATTTTTGGAGACGCCAGGGGGTTTTGAAATTTTGGTTATCAAAATTCCTGGGCACATTCTATTAATTTTACATTTTTTTAACAATTTCAGATTTATTTAAAAAATAAATTTTTAAAAATGTTTTCTATGCTTGGTGCTGGGGCAGTTTCGGCAGTTGCTGCTGCAATCATTTATGCCAACCTTCCTACTCGTTTGACTATAGGAGGTGTGCTTCCAACTGTTGACTATCTTGCGAAATCGAATTTAAAATTGATTGAGAAAGGGAAAGGTGATGCTGCGATTTTTGAAGGAAAAAATGTTTTGGTTTGTTTTGAGTTTTTTTTAATTTTATACCTTGGGTTTGCTACTTTCCTTTGATTTCTGTAAAAAATTTTCAGTGGGAAAATGGGGAAAACTTTGTTAAATTTTAAAACGACTTTTACTAAATTTTTAGATGGTCAATAAGCCAAAGTTCTTTAGCACCTCGGGCAAATATTTGGATCTTAATTTGATTCTTTTCCTATTTTAGAGGGAGTAATTTTAATTTTCTTTACCTTCTAGTTTAATTCCTACCCGAATTGACAATGGCTCACAAAAATTCTGTCGGATTCTATCCGTTTTTGGACAGAAAAATTTAGGAAAAATCTGCCCCCATTTGTTGATATAAGCGGGATGAAAGACAATTAAACTAATAATTATTTGCTAATAATTAACAAGATACGGGGAAAGACCTGTAGGTTACAAGGTGCAAAACAGTCGAGGCGTGACTATCTCTAGTAATTTTGAACTATTTGGGAGCCTCGGAGAAGCTTCTCAAAAACTACTAAATTGGTTGCAGTGCAGAAAAACTTTTCCCCCTTGACCCCTCCCTCGAAAAAAATCCTGGCTACGGGCCTGCTCGGTTGACCTCCTCATTTTCTTTCTTCTGATCACAAATTAATTCCTTCTAAAAATTTTCTTTAGGCTGAAGAAATTTTCAACGCAAATCCGACACTTGTTATGGCCGTCAGACGTCCTGGCTGTTCTTTTTGCCGTAAAGAAGCTTCTCAAATTTGTTCATTGTCTAAACAACTTGAAGAAAAGGGCGTCAAAGTAATTGGTGTTGTTCATGAGACGATGGGTGTTGAAGACTTTAGACCTTTTTTGGGATGTTCTGATGCTTTGTATTTTGACCCTGAGGTTTTTTTTTAAATTTTGGGGTTTTTTAATGGTGTAGGCTTAGGAATGTAAGAATGATTCACCCAGCATTATAAACGTTCGTGCGGGGGTTAAACGATCTAAAAAGGAAAAAGAAAGCATTAGTCATGCCCCGGTAGCTCAGAAGTAGAGCTTCTGCATATGGTGAGCGAAAGCGCCTAGCAATAACTAGCAGGTGGTCGCAGGTTCGAATCCTGCCCGGTGGCTAAACTTTTGCAAATTCTTCCTGGAATTTAAAAAGTAGGACTCCCATGGTTATAAAATTGCAAATTTCTGGTCCCGTTTCCTGGCGGAACCCATTTTTAGCAGCCTGTAACGCTACTCATCAAAAAGTCGAAAGTGCCAGGAAACGGTTCAAACAGTTAAAAATTTTTTGGGGCTGAAAAATCACTAGAAATGATTAACTATAAAATTAGAATTAAAACGGAAATGTAAATAGAATATTTCTAAATTTGGTTGTCAAAAATGTTTCTATTTTATATGCAGAAAATTCAATTTAATCCTTTTCCCACTTTAGGTTTTGTTAAAGACTTTGGGGTGTTGTGACTTTAACGTAAACTTGGTGATTTTTCTTGGGTTGTTTTTCGGTTCGTCTCCGGATACCTGAAGAATTACCCCTACTAGCATTAAATTTACCCCTACTAGCATTAAAATAAATTAAAATTTTATTTTTTAAAGAAAAAGTTTTTTGGACCTGAACAACGATGGCTGCCTTTCTGGATGGGATTCTTACGTATCAACACATACATTAATACTTACAAAACAAAGAAAGCTGGATTTGTTGGAAATTTGGAAGGTGAAGGACGACTCTTGGGAGGTTATTTTTTAATTAATTAAAAAAATTTTTTTTGATTAAAAAAAATTATTTTCCTTGGCGGAATCGAACCTGCATCCTCATTGAGAAAATAAATTATCCCACTTAACCAAAGTCAACAAAAAATTTTTTTCTTAATTTGTTTTAAATTTTTTTTTCATTTGAAAATAAATTCTTTCCATACCGGGATCGAACCTGCGTCATTGAGAAATTAAAAATTATACCACTTAACCAAATTGACAAAAATTAATTTTTTACTTAAAATTGTAGGAATTTATTTGATCAACAAGGACAAAATGCTCTTTGCACATTTGGAGAAAGAATGGGGAGATGAGCCTGAAACTCAACAACTGTTGGATGCACTTAATGACATTTAGAATAATTTGGACTTTACAAAGCAACGCCTTATTTTGACCAAAAATTAGTACTTAAATATATATTTTATGTTGATTAACTCGGGAATTTTTGTGAGGTTTTTAAGGTTATTTTGTAATTATTTTGTAGGTGGGGAGGGAAAGAAGCTCACTAGCTAGGCTATTTAAGAGTATATTGTTAAACGAGAGGAGCCCAGATTAACTAACAAGGGAACATTCTTTACTGTGACTGCGAATTTAATATATCTTTTGGTACCATTCGATAGAGCATAGTCGATTTACTATTGTTGTTTGCGGGTTTTCTTGCAAAATTAGTTTGGGCCGAGTTATGGCCGTTCAAAGTTTCAGTCCTCGGGAGTGGTTGAGTATAAGCAAAAGGGAAAAGAAACGCGCTATAACTTTTTTTTGACTCTCTCTGCTTTATTCACATTGTTTTATAAAGAGGAAAAAAGAATACAAGAGGCGCGAGGAAAAAAGAAGGGAGAAAATGTCAGACACAATAACCAAAGAGAAGATGGGCGTGTCGGTTTTTAGAGGATGAAAAATAAGAAGAAGAGAGAAAACAAGCGAACTATGCCATTTCCGTGCCCGCACAAAATACCGAATTCTCAAAATCGCGAATCGGCTAAAAAAGCTCAAAATACCGAATCGGGAAAAATATCTCAAAATATGGAATCGGCCAAAAAAGCTCAAAATATGGAATCTTAAAATATCGAATCTCAAAATCTCGAATAGGCTAAAATGCTCAAAATACCGAATCGGCTAAAAAGTAGTTAAAAATGTCGAATTTTTTAAATCGAAAAGGGCCGTTTGAGTGCCGCCAATTGAATGCAGGTCTTTTTCAGTTTATTCAGGGGTCTGTATCTCAGTCCAATAAAGTCGGATTTCATTGATTTTGGTATCAGTCGATGCAGCTCGTCGTGCTCTTTCAAATGAGCTATCATTCGGAAAATCGAAATTCGGTTCGGGATTCGAAGCTCGGTTCGGGGCTGGGATTCGACTTTTTCAAAATCCGAGCTCAGATTCGTAATCAGCATATTTTTTTACCCTAGAAAAACCCTTTTGCATATTTTTAAATTTTTTTCGAAGTTGTTGATAAAATTGTTCAGACTCAACTGGCTTTTGCCGCATTGTCGATATTTTGAGCTTTTTTGGCCGATTCGATATTTTGGGATTCCATATTTTGAGATTCGATATTTTGAGATTCCATATTTTGAGCTTTTTTAGCCGATTCGCGATTTTGAGATTCCATATTTTAAGAATTCGGTATTTTGTATGGGAGCCGCCATTTCTTTTACTCTCTCTGCTTTCTTCGTATCCCCTCAAAATCTCTATTCCTTAAAATCTCTACTGGGCTAAAATGCCTTATAATCTCTACACAGCTAAAATGCATTAAAATCTCTACTCGGCTAAAAATGATTAAAATAACTATTCCTTAAAATCTCTATTCCTCATAATCTCTACAAGGGTAAAACGCCTTAAAATCTCTACACGGCCAAAAATAGGATAAAATGTCTATTTTTTCATTCGGAAGCCTTTTGAGTGCCAACGTTCAGTGCGGAAACGTTGTTCTGATTTCTGGCTTATCTTTTGATATTATTTTGCTTGTATTGTTTTTGCCGCTGCGGATGAACCCAGGCATGTCCAGCGGAACGACAGCAGCCGCTTCGATACGATCACCGCAAGCAAAATGAACACGACCGCAGCGAAGCAGTCGTGTATTATATCTTCGATATTTACAGCGGATACAAGCAGATATCCGCAGCCATTTTTAAATCAATTGTATCCGTATCCATTACCAAGTCTGGGTTTTCCAATGAATAGTTCATATTTTACACTTTTGTTGAGACTCTACCGTCCATTTGCACGGTGTAGAGATTTTAATTATTTTTACCCCAGTAGAGATTTTAAGGAATAGTTATTTTAAGGAATAGAGATTTTAAGCATTTTTACCCTAGTAGATATTTTAAGGAATAGCGATTTTAAGGAATAGAGATTTTGTATGGGAGCCGCTTTCTTTATATTGACTTACAACGATGAAATAGACTGCAAGAGGCGTGCAGGAAAAAAGGGAGGAAAT